TTCCTGTTTACATGAATTTCATGCTTATTTTGTATTTAAAATATTACAACTATGTATATTAAATCGTCATATATAAATGACAAGTTAATTATAGCTTCGATTAGTCAGTACTGATTTGGTTAATTAGAATTGCTATACTCATTAGTACCTAAATATTTAACAAAATTACGCTGCGGAAAGCTAACTTTGTAATCGTCTATTTAATATTCTAAAGATTGTCAATTAAGTGCAAAGTCTCTCTACCATATCGTATTTGGGACGTTTGGTTTTATTATTCATTATATAATGTGCGCCCGCTGATCGGCAGCCCGCCGCGGTTGGCTTTCACTCAGTCCGCGGTTAATTACGAGAACGATTGTGTTCGCTCGCTGCTATTTACTCAACTGTTTCCAATGCTTAAAGATAAAGAAAAGGCTAAGTACAGCGATACACGGCGCACCTATCTTATCAGAACCACTCTATTGATCACTCATTATATCGCGAACGGCCCGCCTTATACGGCCGACCCGACTACCTTTATTGTCCAATTTAACGTGTAGACGTGTACTCTTTTATAGGCGCGATGTTACCGGTGAAGTCATGATGTGTGTTGCACGAAAATAGAAATACAGTGGTTTGCAGGAAAATAGTATCAATAACAAAAGAATTGTGGTTTGTAATCGAACGGAAATGACGGCCAAATCGCCTACGGCTAGTGTGAGGTCGCGGGAAATCATTGGAGTGGAGCAGTTCAGTCAGCGGCGCGAAGTGTTCGACAAGCACGACACAGTGTTTTTGCCTTTGCCGTCGCCAACGTCTCCTACGCCCGCGTATAAAGAAGTGGACCCGATTGTGACGTCAAATCACGGGAAAACAACGTCCAATTTCAAACGAAACATATCCGGCTACTCCAGTATGCGTGAAACGAGGAGCGAGGAACGAAACAATTTCGACTTTCGACCGCGAAAGTATTCCGATAACTTCACTTCCGAACTCAACCAGAGTGACGATGTAGACTATAGGTATAGTATGACCGAACGGACTAGACGCCTATCAAAACTACGGCGGGACTTTTTGAAGTCCAATTTACATGAGCCCAATGGCAGCCCTCAGTTTACTCGCACAGGTGTGCGTGCGTCGATGCCGACCAAAAGTACTTCAGTGATGAAATATAAAATAGAGAGTCCGAATTTATTCAAATTTCCTTTTGCGGAGCCTTATTCCACACCGACACCTGCACGAAGAGTAATTCTCGACTTGGGATCACCTGACATTGACGGTAAAGAAAATCAAGATCCTGTTAGTAAGCAAAGACATCAGAGCCTACCTAATCATGAAGTATCATCTAAAATTGACCACCAAAAACTTTATGAGGAGTTAATTAAGCGCTATTCGCCGCAACGTAAACCAGTTGATTGGTCTATACCCCCGACTAGACCCAAAGTTGTGGCTTCAGTCCCAAAATCAATTTCTAGCGCTACCGAAAGTGTTGACAGTGTGGACAAAAAATATAATGGTTCCGAAAATGATGATGTATTTGAAAATAAAGAAAATCAGCATCATTTATTTTCTTCCTCGGAAGAGATAAAAGAAAAACCGGATGTAATACAGAAAAGTAATATAGAAATCCTTCAAAACGCACCAGAGATAACAAATGAAGATGACCCTAAAGAAAGTAACGGTATTTGTAATGATTTAAAAATTATGAACCAGGCGAAAAATGAAAATGATTCAAAAACTTCATTGACAGAACTAGAGGAGAAAAATGATAGAGTGCCTGAATTGTCAACAATCCAGCGTCAAATGAGCAGAGAAACTAAAAGACAGCCACATGAAACAGTGACTGATTTAACGATCCCAGCATTAATTGAGAAGATGACGGCTGAAGGCGACACAAAAGAAAATAATCAAAAAAAAGGAAATAAAGTTAAAAGAAAGAGAAGTTTCCTAGATAAACTTCTAGGTCGCAATAAGGAGAAATGATAAGACAATCTTATGATAGTAAATCGACATTATGAAGTGCATTGCAGTAAAATAAACCTGCCAAAGATTATAAACAAGATTACTATTTAGTTTAGATTTGAATGACGTCAATAGTAATCTTTTTATTTAGAGATAAAAAATAAATATACAAAAATATTTTAATGCCGATATTGATAGGTAATTATAACGTGACATGAAATGAAGGCCAAACTTCCTATAATTATTATACTAAATGCAATGTGTGGGTTATCAGTAACTGATAATATACGTGCCATGTGACACTCCCTATCTACCAAATTCTAATTTATATAAATTAAAATTTTAAAGTGCTAAATATTAATATAGGTATTTATTAACCGTACATAACAGGCACTTTATCGTTTGGAATTTTCCTGTAAAGGTTTATGTTGTTTTTGTTCATTTTGTATAAGTAGTTTTTTCTTGTAAATATTTTTATAGTATTATGCTTACAGAGCATTTTTTTGTTTTAATGTTCGAAGGGTATTTTTAAATATTTTGCTTATTAAAAGGTTCAATAAACAATGTGGTTTTATTAAGATCAATGAGTAAAACAATTAATGTTATAATGATATGAGTTCGACAAAAAAAAGAAGAAATTTCGATAAATTATAATGAAACAATACAAGAATGTGGATGTTATTTTTATTATATTTTTTTACAATAAGAATAAGTTCTTAGCAATACATATAATTTGTAATTTATGTATTATGTATATCACAATATTTTCAACAACAATCATTGTTACATATTTTGTTATGTCTAAATACATTGAAAATTTCACAGCCTAGTTTAAAATACATAATGTAAGTTTTGTTGGATTAAAATTACATGTGCAATATAATTTTAAAAGCTGTTGGATTAAAATTACATGTGCAATATAATTTTAAAAGCAATACAATAAAATCACAGATTAGTATTGTTGTTTCAAGATCTATCTCACCTCAGATAATTTATGAAAAAGTATCCGTTACCGGCCCGTACCCGTTACGAGGCCTGTGCCCAGCAGTGGTACATATATAGGCTGTAACTTTAACTTTTAACTTTAACAGGACATCATTGGTACCGAACATAGAATTATTTTCACATTTATGTTTTAGGTGGGAATCCCATAAGATAAAAAAAAAACATTTTATTAATCTAAATAACCTTCAACGTTTTCCATTTTTAATTTTAACTATAAGAGTTAAGTGTCGACAAAGTTGTTGTTGCGATTAGTTCTTAGTATAATACTTGTAACTAACCTCATCAATAAGTTTGTCAACACCAATCATTTGTATTACCTATAACTATTTTTTCCTTTGTTTACGCCTAATATTCTATCTTGATGACAAATTTCAATTTTAAGTTTCTAAGTCAATTAGAAGTGACCTAGGTTATTAATGAGTCAGTAAATGAGTGAATGATAAAAACTATAGTTTTCAGATCTTAATAATTTAAGCATTTTGTTAAGCTTTATCAATGAGTTTTTTAGTTAACGGGGTCCTTAGTCTGCATGCAAGTAGACATGCAAAATTACAAGTGTGTAGGCCTAATGGTTTTTAAGTTGTCGTGTAGTATTAGTAGAAAGTGGATTGAAAGTTAGAAAGGGTTCATGAAAATATATTCACTGCAGGTGCATCACCATTTTCTTTACCAAACTTGGCTGACACACTGTCCGTTTTTTTAACTACTCCAAGTAAAATTAAAATGCTTTTGCTAGGAGGTTAACGACAGTAACCAATCTGCGGAGTTGAACCCACAACTTTCCGAGTTTGCAGTCCATCGTACCAGTAGGGTATTGTCGCTTCATGGTAGCTGTTTCTAGGTATAAAATTGGATGTATAATATGTTACTCTCGTAAGGTATATATTGGTACTTTTCTGACCCATTTGAAATTTAGAAAAGTACCATCTTATGTCAAAAACAGTTTTATTGTGTTATTAATAATCGTGTTTATCTTATCCCTCAATGATATGTTCATATCAAAGTATGATTCCACTGCTCATTTTGTTACATACATGACTTTCAGTCACATTATATAGAAGCCCTTTACAACATTGCCCAGAGTCCACTTTACTAATTAGAGGTTAGGTACCCAAATAATCTGATCTGAAAAAGGCAAATGGCCAAAAATGACTAGTATCCCATTTATTTCCCACAATAGGCACAGTGTTGGAAGGTATAACTCCTATTATATGGTATAAAACATTTTTATACGGTATGATGACCTTTTAAATAAAAATAGAATTATGAAACTATGGTGACCTTGGAAAATTTCTAATTACCCTTTAGTACCCTTCTAAAACCTTAATAATTTGGTTCTGTACTAAGAAGTTGCACAGCTTAAGTTGCATTCATAAGATCACTAAGTACACCATTGTCATTCAAAAAAGATTATGAACTGCTCCACTTTGTTGCTGGTTTTTTGGACCTATTTTTTGGTAACAACCACACTTACAAGTATGTTGCAGTGGAAGAAGAGATGAAAGAAAAGAAGGACTACAAAGTCTTGTAATGTATACATTAAATTTAACTGCATCATGGTATGAAGTATGGACATCTGAGACTAGACCACCAGGAAATGTGTCTATTTAGTACTTTTCGCTTCAATAAACAGTGCTCTTTATGTAATTTTAGCTATCTGAGGACAGTAGAGAAAAAATGCAAGAAGTAGAAGGATGAAGGTAACTCAGTAGCATGCATTATGGAATTTCTTGGGGGAGGGTTATGTTCAGCAGTGGACTTGTGAAGGACTGTACTGATAAAGATGGCTGAAGGGCTGGAATAATTTAGCTTAGGGCAAAGCCATCCCGATGTCCAGGTAATAAGTGTGAAACCACTAAAATAATAACTTTTAAAGAATTTAACATTAAACTTAAAATCTTAAAACATGTCAAACATCATTAATTAAATATTAACTATGAAACAATGGTCAACACAAAAATAATACATAAAAAATAATATCAATGCAATTTAGTCTGCCTACTATTAACTTTCTATTTAGAGACATAGTGTTGTACAGATATTGAACTAGAAATCTATTTTAAATCCTTGTCTAATCTCCGTAATGCAGCTTCTAGTGAAAACAAGTGGTCATCATAAACATCAGGAGCTATTTCTCTCATGGCTTTAGTTAGGTTATAAACATAATCCTTGTTGGATCCACTGGGACCATGACAATTTATCACTTGCTTTGCTATTTCTTCTATTGATGCAGGACCTATAACATGAAATAAGAGATTTATTACATATATTTATAATACAATATGTAAATACAATGTAGTGGCAGAATGGAATATCCACTACCCCATATCGACCTGTGTGTCGTAAGAGTACAGAGGGAAATCGAAACAGACGATGGGCGGCAGCATCTTCCTGATAAGAACCCTAAATAATAAAAAATCTGCGGTTACCAACCCTCTTACCAAATGTGGCAACTGGCAAAAATGGCAATTTATGGTGGGCGGGTATTGTTCAGCCATGGACTTTTATAGGCTGTAATGAATAGATGGATGGATGAAAATCCATTGACCACTTCATCTTGTGGATGTTGTAACGAGCTACTATATACATAAAATTATTAGAATAGGCAGCAGTGGGAGACATTTGGACATTGCAATCACCAATCCACCTTTCAAGTGTTAAGATTAAAGCAAATGCTCCCTACAATGAGAGAAGTCCATGTCTGTGATATTTTAAATATTTACTTTCATTAAAATGCTAATATTCAATGCAAGCTATTACAGTTTTTAGTTATTAAAATTTATAACTTTCTTAAATTTATATTTTTTATTAATAAAGGAAACAAGAGGTGCTAAATAACACTACTATTCCCTTTAACCACCGTTAAGTTTAATTTATTAAGCTAGAACTGAATTAATACAGTATATAATCAATACAGTTAAATGGCAGATTCTAATCCACAACCTCTTAGTTTCATAGTCCGTACTGTTAACCATTAGGCTACTGTTCCTTGTTGCATTGGAAAACAGTTGTTTTTACTATTTTATGTTGTTACAAGTACCTTGCTGCACTTACAAAATGTAGGTTGTAGGTTCTCCTGTTGTTCAATGTACTGTTAACCATTAGGCTACTGTTCCTTGTTGCATTGGAAAACAGTTGTTTTGGGTTGGCTATAGATATCCAGTACTTGATTTTGATTATGTTTTCAGTTTAGGAGGCTTGTCTGGGCTAAGCATGAACCTTTTACACTGTTTTTGAATGTCGGAAATGAGTTTTGAATTAATTACGATAAAAATAAATTTCCCTAAAAATTCCGTTTAACGAAATGCAAATATGACATTTTATATAGTGTTATGAGATTAGATGTCAATAATCGATGTAAAAAAGTGTGAAACGGGATGGTTTTGACGGCCATAATTTAGGCAACCGTAAATGTCAAATGTCGTTTCTCTAGTGGTCAAACGAATGTTCTCTTGTGCTTAGTGCTGTGTTTTCCCTGTTTTTTCGACGACTTCTGCTCTGTTTTTGAACTTATTTGATTTAAAATTACATTGTTTCATTTACCACTATCATAGCAGACTTTAGGGAAACCTGACTTTATAGATAAGATAGATCGAATTTGTACTAAAACTGAATCAGAACACCCCGACTCTACGTAGCCTTGTTTGCCCTACCCCTAGTGTATTTGAAGCCGTAGGCGCGGAGGGAGAGCAGCCCCTGCCCGCTGTAGCAAATCGCAGGCCCCTGTGTGAGCCGTAGCGGAGGTGAGCATGGATGGGTGCCTGTGATTTGCTACGCAAGGGCGAAGGGGCTGCACTTCCCGCAGCGCCGAAGCCGTTGCAGAAGTAATTTTGTGTCAATATTCCTGTGTAAAAAGTGATTACTCATAAACTATACATTTCCGCAACGGGGGAAGGGTAGGGGAGGCTTTCCCTGAACCCTCCCCTTCCCCCTCCCACGCCTGTACGCGATTACCGGATGTCTATAGTTTAACCTTCAATGTTATATGGTTGGCTCGTTGCCACTATAGATTGAGTAATGATCTGGTTAGAGATGCAGGTAGTCAATGGATGCCAGCTTAGAACTGTGCTTTGTTACAATCCTTGAGAGACCTATGTTCAGCAGTAGGCTTGTGATGGGCTGTAATGATGATGATGATAATGATGAATTCCTAAGATTTTTAGAAGTTGAATTGTTTTACTAAAATTTTTGTTGACCATTTAATCATCTCATTTAGTTATACCAGGCGTTAAATATCCAGACAGGTGACAGGGAGCTGTGTAAAAGGTGTATGACTTCTTATACTACGATCACCAATTCACCCGCTTAGCAAAGCAAGGCAAGTCCTACCTACTAAGAGAGGCATATGTCCAGCAGTGAAAAGATTTTCTGCCGATCAGGGTAGTGATTACACTAGGCTTTCAACTCAAAGAGTTTTATGGCTTTCATATTTTCATATAGGTCTTTTAATTAAAAAAAATTATTACCTGCATAAGATTCATTATCCTTTGTAGCTACGTACAGAGTTAAATCAAAAGGTTCTAAGCCCTTGTCTTTTGGATAGAATGTAACAGTTTTCTTGGAATAACCATTTTTTTCTCTATAATCTAGGTGATTTGTAACATGTTCAATATCCTCGCTTCTTATTTTATATGCAACACCCCAAACTGTGCTATTAGAGTCCTCACTTGGTATTAACGTAACTACTCTGCCTGGCTGAAATAATAAGAAAATATACCTTTAATGCTGTTCTATATTTTTATATTATTCTAAAAAAGCTTCTATTATCTTATATATTAAATTTTTAATCCACAGTGGGAACTTGGTAAGTGGTTACTGCAACCCATAGACAGTCTTCGATTAAGAATCAAAATGCATATATGTTGCCACCCCTAAGGGCTAAAATGTAATGCCTCGTTTCCAAAAAATGGTCTCCAGTTATCTGCACATTATCCACACAAAGCAGTATTAGGCTGCTATTTTAAGCTGGTATTCTATGAGAGGGTTACTTCTTCAGTTCAGTCGACCCATTTGTGTTACGGCAATATTAAAGGGGCAGTGTAGATCTACCATGTGTCAATAATATAGCTGAAGCATGTCTCTACAATATATCAAGTAATTGGCACTAATATAAGACCTAATGTCAAAAAAAACTTACAGTCTACCTGATGATCTGGATCTTTAAACTACAACTACAGATGCATTGTCATCTCTCAGAACTATAATTTAAAATAAAACATTTCGTACAGCCAACTTGAATATCAGTTATTTAAGAATAACTCAAAAAGTATTGGTCTGACCTTGATCAAATTCATATGGGACCACACGAGAACTATCAGCTTTCATATAAAAAAAGAATCATCGAAATTGGTTCACCCAGTACAAAGTTGTGAGGTAACACACATAAAAAAAACATACACTCGAATTGAGTACCGTCTCCTTTTTGCAAGTCGGCAGAAAATGGAATGCATCACTGACTGTAATTATACTCTCACACTCTCTATGACCTTCAGACTGGACCACAGCAGTCCAGCCGCTGTTTTTGTGATAGAAAAAAAAATCACTGCCTAAGAGTCATTAACTACACATATTAAAGGTTAGAAGTTATGGATGTTCCCAAAATTTAAGAATCTATGGCAGGGTTTCCCAACCTTTATTTGACTAGGGACCAATTTGATTGTTTTGTAGTTATCAGGGACCACAAGGCAAATGAAAAAACTATGTTAATCTAACAATAAATTATAATCACAACTTTTAACATATTTATATAATAAACTGAAAAGAAGCATTTCATTAACAGTGTTATTTGTGCATTTATTGTAAAAGTTACTAGGTGACGCACAGTATTGCATTGCCCACGTGATGAGAAAATAATAAATGTGTTATTTAAAACAATTAGGTAGATAAAATATTTAAATCTTTCGCGGACTATATTTAAGTTCTTGACCACTTTCAGACCACTGGTTGAAAACCACTGATCTATGGTAACTATATAAGATGACCTTGTAGACTATAATATATATTGACAGAGACTTTATAACCTATGATTATAATTTCTTTGGATAATTTGACTAAAGGATAACTTGTGGCCTTGAAAAAAAGCTATGGGCACAAAAAACTATTACTCATATGGATAAACATTGGCATTGTACAAACTCAAATCTTTTAGCAGGGAGCAGAGTATATAAATCATTGTTTAGTATTATGTTCTGTGACACAAACACCAAGGCACCTATTCGTCGGAACCTACTTATCTTGTGCTCAACTGCAGATTTTTGAATAACTCGATATCTGCATTGGGGCTCTACGCCACTTGTTCGTCGCTGCCATGGCACTGCAGATGTGTGGTTCTGGTTGGGTCTCTATTACAGAAGATAATTCTCTCTAAAATTTCTGTACACAGTGTACCGATTCCCAGAACCGTTCGCCATGAACATACATTACATACTATCTGGTGTGTGAAACGCAGAACACTGCCTAAGTATGAAGCTATGATGAGTATAATTACTTAAAAGTATTGTTAGTAATTATACTTACAACACTCTTAAGAAGGGCAAAAGCAGTAAAGTAAAAAAGTAAAGTAAAGTTGCAGCCTATTTACGTCCCACAGCTGGGCACAGGGCTCCTCTCATTTCTGAGAGGGTTTGAGGGCAAGGAGATGTCCACCGCGTTGCCCCAATGCGTGTTGCCAAACTTCAGATGTCTACGAAATATTTTTTTCTTATTTCTCAGACATGCAGGTTTCCTCACGATGTTTTCCTTCACCACCGAGCACGTGGTAAATCAGCACTTACAATTGCAATTAACAATTTCATTGCTGCCGGCGGGGATCGAACCCGGGTTGCTCGAGTACTGTGAAGCTTACAGCGAGCGCTAACCATCTGAGCTACCACGGCTCATAAGCCGTATAAAACTATAAAATATAAACAATGTGGCATCGTAAAAAAACTCACTTTTTCGGGTATTCCTCTATGATCAATACTATGTTGATAAAATCTTCTAAGATAACCTTTAATATAACCTACGATTTTGGACTCATACGAAAAATCTACTTTCCAAATCAAAGATCCGTATCCAAATACCCACATACTGAACAAAACTAAATATCTTTAATTTAATAACCATTTATTGAGACATAATCCCTGGTTAAAACTTAAAAGTTTTTCCCAGTATTTCTCCGCAATTATTGACATTGACAAATCAAATATCAAATCTATGCGTTAAGGGCGTTAAGGCTGGCTTTTCACTATGGGATATAATATATATTATATCCTACGATGTTTTTAAAGTAGTCTATTTTAATACGTCTTTGATTATATCCCGAAATATAAATTATATCCCGCGATTGGCTTTGCCATTGGTCAATGGTCATTGGATTACCCCCCTTTACCCAGTTCTGCGGGGGCGCGGTACAGTGTGCGGGGTACAGGGGGCGAAATATAATATGAAAATATCGCTCGGTCGATCGAAAAACTATTTATAGCTTGAGATGTAATATATATCTCAATGAGCTCAAGCTCAGTGTAAATGGTTCCATATGAAATGATTGGTGAGCGATATTAATTTATATCTCAAGATGTAATATATATTATATCCCATAGTGAAAAGCGGGCTTTAGTGATTATTTTAGTTTATTAAACTTTGTCTTTGCATTTGTTGCAGTGCTGCTATTTTTTTTTTTTTTGCAGTTTATGGCCTGGTATCTAGACCTTTAGGCCAAGTCTTAAGTATTTTTATTCGGTTTATTGTAATTTCCCCACTCCTTCATAGTATACTGCTTCACAATATGTTGATGCGTCACATTGTGCAGTTCTTGGGAGATTTTGGCGGCAACTTGATCCAGCAGACAGCTGATAGTTGGCGATGGTATCTAAAGGTGCCTATGCAAACAAACAGCTTATCTTGAGAATCCATCACCATCAGAGCACTTGTTTCACTGTTTCCACTAATAGTTCACATGCGTAGACACTTAATACACAAAATCGCAACACTTTTACATATCAAAGTCCACTTCAAACCATTATTTAAACAATAATACAGGAGCAGCAAACCGCCGCCGGTCAATTTCCCGCCAAAACTCTCACAGCAGTGCTGCTATCGTAAAAATCTGAGTTGCCGTATGTCACACTGGTTTGCCGTATTTAAAGGAAAAAATTACAATATTGCCGTATTATTTATTTAATTTATTATAAAAAATATCAATTCCTTATTTGTTTCTCCTTGGTAAATATTTCTTATCGTTTCTAACACTTCAGATTTATGTTTGATTAGTGAGTGTTTGTCCTTGCTGTACAGTGCAACCGTACATCTTTGATAGTAAGCGATTTATTTAAATAAACATCATTTCCGTCATTTTCTTTATTTTTTTAAGCAGTCACGTTTTCATTCAGAACGCGGCGGACACATCATATATCCTAATCAATTTGTATCAATATCATTGTTAAGTTTAAATAAAATATTTTTTCTTATATCATATATCATTTAAAGGTGTTCCTTACACTTGCTTTTAACATTTTTTACAAACTACTCTAAATATTTTATTTTCATATATTTTTTTACATTATTTAATGTGCCTTTTAGTAAAGTGTAAAACGTAATTAAAAGTTTTCTTTTTTTTTAAATAATCTAATAGAAGTCACTCACTTGACATAATATGTCAAGTGACTGATTTCTGTTAGATTATATATTTATTAAATTATATTATATATTTATAAATGATATATATATATATATATATATATATATATATATATATATATATCATCATTACAGCCCTTCACAAGTCCACTGCTGAACATAGGCCTCCCCCAAAGAATGCCACAAAGCACGGTCCTGAGTCATCTGCATCCATCGACTTCCTGCATGTCTTACCAAGTCGTCACTCCATCTCGTGGGGGGACGCCCTACACTTCGCCTACTGGTACGAGGCTGCCACTCGAGAACCTTTCTTCCCCATCGGTTGTCGGTTCTTCGAGCTATATGGCCGGCCCACTGCCACTTCAGTTTACTAATCCGTTGGGCTATGTCGATTACTCTGGTTCTACTGCGGATATCCTCATTCCTAAGTTTATCACGCAGAGAAACCCCGAGCATAGCCCTCTCCCTCTCGTTTTTAAGGTGCTGGAGCGCCATTCTAATCTCGCTCAGACTGACGTCCGGGATATCTTCGGAATAGTGTCGGATAAGACTCGCTCTTGGATCGTTACTCACACTTGCGTGTGGCTCCAACGATGACGTGTACAGCTGCCCATAGAACCTCTCAATCTCACTCAAAATCTCAGGTGTCCCGGAAACGATGCTGCCACATTCTGTCTTCAGCTTTGACAGTTGGCTCTTTCTGGCAGACAGATCTCTGGCAAAGACTTTGGAGCCTTGGTTCCGCTCGATCGCTTCTTCAATACGAGCTGTATTGAAGTTGCGTAAGTCCCGCCGCATACATTTGGAGATCGGTCTGTTCAGATGCCTGTATGCTGTCAAGTCTGTTGAAGAATGTAGCTTCATCTCCCGTCTAACAGCCATGAGATTAAGAGTGTGATCGGAGAGTTTTTGTGTTCTTCTGCGGCGGGTCTTGCAGAACTTAGCTCCGACCGCATGGACAGTTTCCACGAGCTTGTCATTCATATCGTCCACTTCATTGCAGTCTTCTAGGCACTGAAAACGGTTTTGTAACTCTAGCTGAAAGGTTTCGGGACTTTGGATTAGAGCACGACGGGGACGGAGCGTTGACTTCATTAGACGAGACCTCTCCAACTTAACGTTTAGGTTCAGTGTGCCTCTAACCATTCGGTGATCGCTACCAGTTTTCACCCTCGCGATCACGGAGACATCACTGAACAGTTGTCGTCTGGTCGTCATAATGAAGTCAATCTCATTTTTTGTCGAACCGTCGGGACTCGACCAGGTCCACGTCCTGTGGGGCCGCTTCTGGAAGAAAGAGTTCATCATAAAGAGTCCCTCTTTCTCCATGAAGTCGGCCAGCTGCTGGCCCCTTGGGTTCCGTTGCCCTATTCCAAATTTCCCTACTTTCAGCTCACCGTTCTCTCTTGTGCCTAGTTTTGCATTGAAGTCTCCCATTAACACCGTATATTGGGTTTTGGAGGAATGCATGGCTCTAGAGATATCCTCATACATTTCCTCCACCTCCTCATCGGGGTGTGCCGAGGTTGGTGCGTAAACCTGTATGACCTTCAGCGAATACCGTTTGGTGATTCTGAGTATAAGGTACGCAACCCTCGTCGACACACTCCTGATCTTTACAACGTTGTTAACGAGAGACTTGTGGACGATAAATCCGACACCTCCTTGGGACAGATGGTCGCCCTCCCGGTGATAGAGCAAGTTGCCGGATTCGAGGATTACCGTGTCCTCCCCCTCTCTTCGGACTTCGGATAATCCTATAATATGCCAGCGCAACTTGTCTATCTCTTCTTCCAGCTCCAAGATCTTCTCGTCAGTCCTCAGGGTGCGTGCCTTGTACGTTGCCAGGTCGAGTCGTCTAAGGTGGCAACCGAACCTCCACCGGAGATTCTTAGCACCCCCTGCCCCGCCGTTACCATGGTCGCCACCGTAGCCAGGAATAGCGGGGCCGCCGGGGACTGGGGGCCGTCTCTTTGTTACTCTCATCATAGGGGGGTATTTGCCATAGTTGCCACGCTTGGCGAGCGGGTTGGCAACCGCAATTTTTTTATTGTAATTTTGGCTATTATCAGGAAGATGCTGCTGCCCATCTCCTGCCTGTTTCCCTTTGTCGCCTTTTACGACACCCACGGGAGGATATGGGGTAGTGGATATTCTTGACCGCCACTATACGGCGGTCAAGAATATATATATATATTTCTATACGACCTTGCATACGTTTTAGTATATCACTATCAATACTAACAATGTTTGTTTCGAAATCAAAATATTCGCGAATTTTTTGCTGGAGCAATTCAACAAAAGCGATAAAAAAAATTAAGATGTACTTATATATGTATGAGATGTCTCGACATACATCAAAATAACAAATATAATTATTTACCAATTACATTGGACAAAGAGTAAACCTAGAGCAGTTGTATGAAGCTATTTGTCTCTGTTCTGTTTCTTTACTCGTGTGGTACGTATGTTTTGTTTCATTCCTTACACTAGTGAAAAACGTTTCGTTTCATCTTATGGTCAATTGCCAATTGCCGTATTTTGTGATATGGCAATGAGAGGCCTGCCGTATGCCGCATTTTCTGAAAAAAGTCAGAGATTGCCGTATAGGTTCAGGCAGAGTAATTGTAAACAGGAGTAAATTCATACTGAAGTGACGCAGATAATTTTCAGTTTGCCGCCAAATCGTAAACAAATGACAAATGAATAAAATACATACACAATAATATTGGCAAATAGTTCCATTTTCAAAATTTGATCTTATTTTTTTATTATATCGTTTACAAGTGACCAGTTCTAAAAACTTTCACTGTCACTCTCGTCTCAGATAAAGAGATTTAAATATATAGGTATACTATAGAGCTCTCATTGGGAACATTTATATACAAAATCTTTGAGCTAGTGCGCGTGTGGCACCCTCTAGCAAAAAATAGCAAAACAACGCTAAGCATTTATTAAGACAACATTTTAGCTATTCCCCAGTAGGTGACGCTAATAAATATAACCTCGTTTTAGGAATGTTTCAGTTTCGATATCAAAGTATCGATAATTTTGTTGAAGATTACTAAGTTTGAAATGCTTTTCGATATAATAATAGGAAATATACATGATTGTTTTATAATTAAAATTGGTAACTAAATAGTGACGTTTACTGGATAACAGAGGGCGCTTATTACAATAAAATAAATGTTCTAGAACAATCTACTAGAATAATTACTAATAAACTATTAAAATTTAAAGATTATTCGGTAAATATACGTTATATTTACGATAATAAACCTATATCACGTTCATTTTTTGCTCCATATCGTGACTTACAATATCTTAATGCACAACCGGGTATATTTTCTTTAAAAATATTTTTTTAAATAATATATGAAACGAATGCGTCTTGACTTTTTGACGATATCACTAATTGACAAAAATCGGAGATATATCCTATAGGACAGTGATACACAGACTTATTAAGACTAGGGGCCACTCGGGCAAATTATGAAATGATGGCGGGCCGCCAGAAGTATAGGTAATTAAAGACAATAAAGAATTGATAATAATGTATTAAAATTGAAAAAGAATTTATTAATTTGAAGCGTGACACTGCATAGTGCTTACAATCTTTTTTATATTTGGCTCAAATTTACTTGTAGCAACACGTAAAACTGCTTCCAAACTTTCATTTGCAAGGCGGTTTCGATTTTTTGTTTTATTATTATTTAGTATTGAAAAGGTTTGTTCACATATATAGGTAGAACCAAATAAGCTGGCACATTTCAGAGCGTTTATGCGCAACTCTTTGTACGCATTTTTATCAATGCAGCGGTAAAAGTTCAGCAAGTCTCCTTCGTTGAATTTGTTGCGTAAATCTTCGGTCGTTTTGAATGTTGATAATTTCTGACTGCATTGACTCTGGCGCATTTTCAACTGAAATCGTGAAAGGATTGCTGAATATGTCCAACAGAGGTTTCACTTTTTTAAACTCCGAAAATCGGTCTTGAAAAGATTGAATCAAAATATCTAGCTTTTCTACATAACTGAAATTAATCGCAGTTTTGTTGAATTTTTCAGCCATTTTCTTATAATTCGGAAAATGATTGTAATTTCCAGAATTCAATTGCGATCTGAAAAGTGTCAGCTTGCATTGAAAGGATGATACATGAGCGTAGAGCTGGGATATCAGTTGATTTTTGCCTTGAAGCCGTGTGTTCAAGACATTCAAATGATTTGTAATATCAACTAAAAAAGCCAAATCACACAACCAATCAGGATTTTTAAGTTCCGGGACATCCCTTTGCTTTTCCGCCAGAAATATTCCAATTTCTTCTATTAAATTTAGAAATCGTTCCAGTGTCAATCCACGACTTAGCCACCGTACTTCTGTATAATACAGTAAATCTCCATATTCGCTTTCGATGTCATCAAGGAATTGTTTGAATTGCCTGTGATTGAGTCCTCGTGGTTTTATGAAATTTACAGTCGAAACTACCACTTTCATGACATTTTGAAATTCAATTTTTTTAGAACAGAGGGCTTCTTGGTGTATAATGCAGTGAAACTGCATGAGATCTTCAGCGTTTATGTTTTTTTCTTGCAGATGCTTTTGCAGCAAAGTAACTAGCCCAGAATTGACACCAATCATCGAAGGAGCACCGTCAGTCGCAACTCCTGATAATTTTGATAAGTCCAAATCAGTTTTTGAACACTCATCCAAAAGTACATTGAGTATATCAACTCCTCTGGTTTGACCTTTCAATGAACACATTCCTAATAACTCTTCTAAGACTTCAAAATCTTGAGTAACACCTCGTATGAATATCAGAAGTTGAGCTGTGGAACTAATATCAGTGGATTCGTCGAGTGCTAATGAAAAAAATTCAATGATCTTACGAGAGTTTTTTCATTTAATTGTTCCGCAATATTACCTGACAAAGACATTATTCGTCTTTGGATAGTCATACGATTCAGTTGAATTTTCTCAAACGTTTTTGCTGCTTCTGGACACATTTTCTTAGCGGCAATTTCTATGCATTCTTTTACAAAATCCCCATCATTGATGGGGCGACTTCGCTTTGCTATCATTCGAGCATTGAGATATAATGTACTACGTACTAGAGAAGACGCCTCAACTCGATTGTTTGTAACACGAGTTAGAGTGCGCGCTCTCAAACTCACTTAGTCTGTGTCAAGCGGTTGTTGCAACGTGAAAAGTTAGAGTGAAGAATTATTTTTAAATTAATATGCCTTCGTGTGCATTGAGATACTATTCAAACTACTCGAGAAATATAAGGAAAAGTCAAGGAGTGAATTTTCACCAGTAATTTAAACTTATTATTATCTTTAAAACACGCTTAATTTAATTATATTTTATCAACTGTAACGTATACGTGAATGTCAAAGAGTAAAACATTTTTATGCGCAGACTTGACACTATCGACGTATAATGTTAAGTAATTATGAACAGTAAAATATTTATATATATTCACTGTAGGAAATGTTAATGCATTAAAATTAATATTTTTTATTATTATTTTTATTTAATGTTTTCCTCGGCTGTGTCATGAAACAAAATAATCATGGATCAAATTTGTTCAGAAGAATTGCAGCGAAGAAACGTCAGATTATTCACTCACATTTTCCGTGCAGTTCAAAAAAAATGACAAATACACCGCAAAAACAGGAAGAGTGTACTTCAAGAAATAAGCAGTACCATACGACTATGTAATTATATAATTATATAACATTGCTAGGATTTTTGTTTTATTTTTTGATTAGACGACGAACGAATGTTTTGTAATGTTCAGTATATTTACGGGACTTAAGAGAGACGGAAACCTCGGTGCGCGAGTCATTCTAGTATATGACGGTTTTTTAATACTGTAACACTAGAATTTTTGGAGGCTTTCCAAATAACTAGTATCTTTTTTTCAGCCAAGAAAATGTGGTGAACAGGAAGTATCAGAACCGTTTTCTGAATCAATAAGCAGTACAAATTCAATTTTAGATAGTCCGAGCAAAATTGTACTTAAAAATAAATTACGCAAGTGATGTCTCCTAAGCTAAGTTTGAGTGATGTATACGAAGCCTAAGCTAAAAAAATAGCGGAATCAATAATTCTAGGTTATTATAAAAAGAATAAAATATAAGCACGTTGTAATATTGTGTTTGTATATAATAGCAAGGAATCTGCAGCTAGAAAGAAACTTACTGAGAAATTTAAGACAAAATATTTATCTAAAGAAAAAATGTGCGTCTTATACAAATCAATTGTCGAAAATTTGAAACATAAATTTGGTCTCAACTTAAATGCTGAGATTGATTTAATGGGTAAAGCAGAAGTTATGGAGTAACATAAATCTTTAAGGAAAAAGAATAAACAGAGCACGCATTATTAATTATACACTGCATGCACCTTTACGTAAATTCGCATTGATTTTATACTATTATTCACCAGCTGCGTATAAATACGTTAGATAATGCTAGAAATGTAATAATAATGATCTTTGAAAATAAATGCATATTTTTATATTCTACATATTTACCTTTTAAAGTATTAAATAAAATATAATTAAAATGTAATTCTGACATAATATTATGTTACATTATATTAACACATTATGCAATATAAATAACAATTTAAAAATTGTACTCGATACAATTTACAATACAATCTAAATAAACATTTACTTATTACATACTGATCATTCTACCTACGTATATAATCTATGATGACAAAAACCGCGCATGCGCGACTGTACTATTTACCGCGCATGCGCGAAGACATAGAGTAGTGCACAGTTTTTGTTCGGAATAGCTTCTCTAGTACGTAGTACATTATATCTCAATGCATTCGAGAAATTTCATAACTAACTTCTGTAGCTGTTTCTGAATCTTGAATGGGTTTTGTAAACATAGCTTGCTGAACAATAAGCTCCCGTTTTAAAGACAACATTTTTTGCTTTCTTAATTCGCCTGTAAACTTGGTAAAAGCAGGATGCTGCGTTTCATAGTGCCTTTTTACATTATATTCCTTTGCAATCGCAACAGAATTCTTGCAAATTAAATTAAACAAACTTCTTTGTTATGCCACCATACAAAAAAGTATTTCTCAGTCCAAATTTCTTGAAACTGCCGATTTTCATCTTTAACCTTACGTTTTTTACTAGGTCCTGGCTTGTCCATGTTGCGTTCTAATCCTGGCTAGGATTAACACAGCACCTAAAAACAATTACAGTACCTACTTAAATTACCCATCCTTTTTTAAATTACCAAAAATAATTGATTAAATAGGTAGGGAAACACTTATTAATAACAGTTTTACTTACGATTTCACAACACAATTATACAGGGCACTTGACGGGAAATCTACGTTGAATGTGGATCAAAATATATGACACCGGCTAGTCGAGTTAAAATCTACACTAGAACTATTGACACTTCACTCAAATTAAAACCGAACTGTCGGTCGCTGCGGTTAGCGTGGCTTTTATACCGCGCGTATAGAGTCGAAAACTGTCTGGAGAAATCACGAAACCGACTCTGGAAGCTTCGTGTATCTACCTACGCGAGCAATCGGGAATTCGGGACTATTGCTATCTCGCTTGCTTTAACAATATAATCCGTGGATAAGCCGCCACCGCGCTGCCATCATCGCCGCGCCGCCGGCCGCGGCGGTTCCTCAAGAAAACGAATTTAACCGAGATCAGCACGAACATTACCGACCGCTGTTACCGACGCATGCACGGCGCACCGATAAGCGTACTTAAGAGCGCGCGAGTGAGATTCAAATTAATTTTCGAACATATTTTTTTTGGTTTTATTCTGGAATATAATTCAATATTTTTCGAATGTACGAGAGTATTATTTTTGATGTCGGCGGGCCACCAGTATTCGACCGGCGGGCCGCGGTCTGTGCATCTACGCTATAGGACATAAGTTACAGACGACAATTTTGCTACTGATGTCCGGTACCTATTTTACGAAAAAAAGAAAAGAGTAAAATAAATATAATAAGACAATTTTAAATTCTTAAAAAGAAACAAATCTTGTTACAATGTCGAAGTTATTTCGAATTTAAAATTAATTAATATTTAGGACACCTTTTATGTGCACAAAGAAATCCATGATGAATCTAAGCAAGGCTAAGGGAATGTTTTAGCACACTTGCATAGCCCTTACGGTAGTTGCCCATACAGGTTCCTTCTCGTTAAGGGAGTGGAGGTGGAGTTCTCCCTTCTTCATATAAAAGCGCGTAGGAACAATTGTGAGGACGAACAGCCTCGACAGTTCTGCTCCCTGCTCTCGGATGGGTCAGTCTCTTTAAACTTTTCAAGCGTAAGCTAATGAGCGTGAACCTTCGCATTTCCTAGTTCCTGGGAGTAGGATGACCCCTTGGAGCCCGAGTTCCAAGCGCCAAAAGTTACATAGATGCAAGGAACTGCACCATGAAGTTCCAGGTAGGACAACCCGCCAATACCTACGCTGCCTCATGGAAATGGTGTGGTATTCCGGTAGGACTCCGACGGCTACCAGCTTCTGTCTTCTCAGAAAAAACAATGGTTCTTTCCGTCAAAGCACCGAACCAAACGGCAGCCCTATAAGTCCATGAACTGCACCAACTCTAAGTATATGCGGTGACAAACATTTCGGCTACTTAAACTAACTGGCTGAAGCGGACTTAGAATTTGTTGATATAGAATCAAAATTTTTGAGTTTCGTAGTTACTTAGACTATCTTAATAATTTGCATATTTTGACAAAGGAATAGCATCACAAACTAATAAGAAGTGCTAGCGCATTCCTTATTACTTTTATTACTAAATTAATAATCCACCCAGGCTTCGCACGGGTAATTTCTGGATCTCGACAACAGCGCCATCTACCGAGTCCAAATGTGGATCTAAACCATCTAGGGACCCATTCAAACACACACAAAAAAATTAACCAAAATCGTTCGAGCCGTTTTTGAGTTTTAGCGAGACTAACGGACAGCAATTGATTTTAATAGCATGGGTCTTAACCGTATGAGTGGTTTCATATGCAATAAAAATAACTTTAAATGCTATTGTTTTTTTATTTATACATTCAAAAAGTACAAGAAATTGAAATTTAAGTGACATCTAATTTTTAAAGATAATATCATTTAAGTGACCGCCACCAGCTTTTTGAAATTCTTGTAGTCGCACTCGCAGATTTTGAAAAACACGTTGACAAGTTGCTCGTGGGATAACGTTAATTTCTTGCACAATGATTTGCTTTAACTCTTTAACTGTTGTTGGATTATTTTCGCAGACCCTTGCTTTTAGGTAACCCTACAAAAAATAATCATTAGAGGAAAGATCTGGACTCCTTGGAGGCCACTTAATGTCTACTCTTTGCGATATGACTTTTCCTGGAAACATTTCTTTCAGCACGTCTATTGAGACTGTAGAAGTGTGGCACGTGGCTCCATCCTATTGATACCATGTCCTAGAATTATAACCTTAAAATTCTTGAAGAGCTGGAACCAAAAACTCTTGCAACATCTGACAATAATTCTCAGATTTCATTTACCCAATTATACCACTAGCCGATATTCCAGCCCACACAATGATCTTAGGGCTATGAAGAGGTCTTTGATGCATCTCGCGGGGTTAGATTCGGACCAAAACTAGCAATTTTGAAAAATTGTTAAAACGTTCCAGCATAACATTAGCAAAATTAAGTCGAAGATTAGCATCATTAATTGGGCTTCAACTGAATTTTATACGCTTTTAAATGCAAATCACTGTGCAAAAGCCTGCGCAAAGTCATCACAAGCCACGTTCAAGATTTGGCTTCTTTTGTGAGTCGCGTATCTTTTTTGAGGATTTTTTCTAATCGATTAATGAGCGTGTGGAATAATCTCCGGCGTCCGTATTGACTTCGGGCGGCCCGTATTATTTATTCTTACTGTAGGTAGACCCGGTTTCTTCGAAAACCCTAACCCATTTCCGAATAGAATTTGCGCATGCTGCTTCTGAGGTCATGTAAGCCGAAATGAACGCGGTATATTCGCCTAGTAAGTCACGGAACTGTTGTTGATATAATACGCGCGAACACAAA